ATATATTTTTTTAAATAAAAACTTTTTACAAATAAAATCCTGATTTAAGTTTATATATACACTACATATATAAATTAAGTTCGTATCACAAAAATATTGATATCATTAACTTTTAACTTTAATAACTTTTTTATTACATAAGAAAAAACAACAAATTTAGTATCAAATTAAATATCAGACTAACTAATTTCTAAGACAATTGATAAAATTTAATAAATTATTAAGATATCTATAAAAATAGCTCAAGAAGTAAGAAATGGTAAAAATATTAATTACAAAAAGTATTTTCGTGAAAACAAAACTTAAAAAATTATTAACAAAATAAGTGCATTAAATTGGTATAACCGATGTTAATAGCAAGTATTTCCTCCGCTGGCATCGACGACAGCTTGTAATCTTCTGGGAACACTTTGGATCAGTTTTTCGGTGACTTCTTGTGGTATATTTTTCCAAACATTAAATAGTGATTCTTTAAACACAGAAAAACTTTTTCTTTCGCTTTTTTGAACACGTCTGTCCAATTCATCCCATAAATGCTCAATAATATTGAGGTCCGGGCTCTGTGGTGGCCACTCAAGTGTCTCAATATGGTTGTCAGACAACCATTTCTTAGCCAATTTCGATGTGTGTTTCGGATCGTTGTCGGCTTGAAATACAAAATCGTTGTTAATTTGGAGATCTCTTGCGCTCTGAATCAAATGTGGGGTCAAAATATCATTAACGTAAACATAGCGATCCATAGTTAATGGTATTTCAACCAAATGGCCGACTCCCTGGCCTGTCATACATCCCCACAACATCACTGATTTTGAGTGCTTTACTGTTGGGCATATATTTTCGGCATTTAAACTTTCGCCTCTCTTTTTCCACACTCTTTGGCGACGTTTTGTGTTAATTATCTCAAATTTAGACTCATCTGACCACAAAACCTTCTTCCAGAATGACATTGGCATCCGGATGTATATATATGTCTAGTTTGAGTAAAATGTTACCTTAAATACAAATGTAAATTTTTTTATTAACGGTTTGGTTTTTTTAAATTTTTTTTCTAAATTTTTTCGGTTCGGTTCACACATTCATAATAATAATAATAATAAAATTGTTTTGGTATTCATCTCTAGTATATATATTTGTAATAATAATAATAATAATAATAATAAATACTAATAAAATTTAATATACAGTAAAACTTATGATGAGTTGAAATTTATTACTAATATATTATATATTTTTTTTAATTTTTGGTATTGAATATACTATTGAATTATTATTATTATTATTATTGAATTTATATTAATATTAGTTTTTTTTAAAAAGTTATGAACTTTTGATAATCATATACATCATACACACATTGAATCAATAGACTATTTTAATAATAATAATAATAATAATAATTTATATTTTAATTTTAATACACATTTTAAATTATATATATATATATGTTTGCATTTTAAAAAAAATAAAATAAATAATAACTACTAATATCTAATAATAATATCTATTGTATCATAAGATTAAATAAAAATAATAATTAAAAAAATTACTAAATAAATAAAATAATTGTTAAATTTTATTATTTTCGATAAATACAGATAAATAAACTATATATATATATATATATATAATTTTATTTTAATAATAGAATTTTTTTTAAAAAAATAATTGTTTTTTACGGTTAATTAATTATAACAGCGGTAATAAAATAAATTTTTTTAAAAATAACCAATAATTACGGTTTTAATGATTTAAATGATTAAATTAGTGGCGGGGGAGGGGGAGTGGGGGTTATTTTAACCATCAAGGACGGTTAGCTGCTATTTTAATATATATATATATATACCGAAGCCCACCCCACACCCCCTCTTATGTGTTAAGGGTTGTGTGTGTGTGTGAAGTGCGTCTAATAGCGGCGGCGGTGGCCGAGTAGTCGTAGCGGCCATGAATTACTACCACCACTACTACTACTACTACCGAACGACCGACCGACCGACCTATCTGTCAGGTGTTTTAATGCACAATACGACGACCACCACTATCGCCGTCGCCGCCGAAGTGGCCATCAGATTGTTGTCCAAAGTTAGTGGCCGCCGAACATTGTCTGCTGAAAAAGTCGTCGCAATAGTTGACTATTTGTACGCCAAGTTGCCGATAGTTGCTCTCCGTATGTCTGGGCAAGAGATATCAGTGAGTGAGTGAGAGAGAGAGAGAGAGATCAGAGAGAGAGAGATCAGAGAGAGAGAGATCAGAGAGAGAGAGATCAGAGAGAGAGAGATCAGAGAGATCAGAGAGAGAGAGATCAGAGAGAGAGAGATCAGAGAGAGAGAGAGAGAGAGAGAGAGATCAGAGAGAGAGAGAGAGAGAGAGAGATCAGAGAGAGAGAGAGAGAGAGAGAGAGAGAGAGAGAGAGAGAGATCAGAGAGAGAGAGAGAGAGAGAGATCAGAGAGAGAGAGAGAGAGAGATCAGAGAGAGAGAGAGAGAGAGATCAGAGAGAGAGAGAGAGATCAGAGAGAGAGAGAGAGAGAGAGAGAGAGAGAGAGAGAGAGATCAGAGAGAGAGATCAGAGAGAGAGATCAGAGAGAGAGAGAGAGAGAGAGATTGTTTGATTAGTTTCTGCTGAAGAAATAATCCGATGTTTTACTGGTGTGTGTGTGTGTGTGTGGAGGGGATGGGTGGGTGTGTGTATGTATTGTAGAAAAAAAACCTATGGGTTATACCTATTATTAATGAATCCCTGAGCGGCCGACTGGCGTATCGTTTGTAGTTTTCGGACAATTTCTTGTTCATAGAATTGTTTTCTAGTTTTAGACATCGGATAATGATTTCCGCCGCCATTATTGTCCCCGTCATTATCATCGCCGCCGACAGTGCCGTCAATGGCTATCAAACTAATCTTCAGCTGTTGTATCAGTTTGTTCAGTAGACTACAGTTGTGAGTGAGTTAGTGGGTGAGTGAGTGAGTGAATGATAGATATGGTGTTTAAAAAACTAAACAATACTAACCTATGGAGGACTGTATCGGTTGTGGTTGTGTTCACTACCACTAAAGCCTCGGGAGACTCAGCACGACTACCACCGCGACTACCACCACGACTACCGGCTCTGTGACCATAACCATCATTACCGTCACCACCGCCGCCGCCATTATCACTGCTATACGATAGACTTGACAGCGGCCGCGTTGATTGCCGATAACTTGGACCACCGATTTCCGATGACGACATCATACAATCGGCAACTCTAGTACGGTGACCATCGATTCGGTCGGCAACTGCCGATGACAAACCTGCGGCAGGTCTCTGATGTTGACCTCTGAGATCGTCGGCGGCTACATGAGCCGCCGCCGATGACAGACCAGCTGCAGCCGTCATACGATGACCACCGCTGGCGTCGGCATCTTTCGATGATAAACCAGCTGCGGGTCTCTGATGATGACCTCTGCTATCGTCGGCGGCTACATGAGCCGCTGCCGATGACAGACCAGCGGCAGCCGTCATACGATGACCACCGCGGGCGTCGGCAGCTTCCGATGACAAACCAGCGGCACCTGTCGTGCGGTAACCTCTAACCCCGTCGGCTGATGACAAACCAGCGGCGGCAGCCGTCATACGATGACCACTGCATGCGTCGGCGGCATCTTTCGATGACAAACCAGCGGCAGCTCTCGGGTGGTGACCACCGCCGCAGGCGTCGGCGGCGGCTTTCGATGACAAACCAGCTGTCATGCGGTGGTGGTCACCGATGCCGGCATCTGATGATTCGCCGCCGACGATATAATTTCCAATATAGTTAGTCAACAGTTCCAGTAGTGATCGACAATCAATGGATAGTCGGACCATAAGATTTTCGTCGACCATAATGTCGATCCTCTCTCTCTCTCTCTCTCTCTCTCTCTTAGTCTTCGAGTGTATATAAACTTGTGGTTCAATGATATGGTTGACGACAACGAAGACGACAACCAACTTATGTGTGAAGACTTGGTTTGACTGACTGACGGATCAAATAAATTATTAATAATTTTTTAATGATATTTAATATGCGTTTAGAAATACTGCAGTAAATCAATACAATAGTAACCAATTTAGTCACACATAGTAGTCAAGGATATTCAATATAATATATATTATATACACATACATACTGTACACATGTAGACACACACACACACACCCACACACATACATACATACACATACATACATACATTAATACATACACTTACATACATACACTTACATACATACATACACTTACATACATACATACACATACATACACATACATACACATACATACACATACATACACATACATACACATACATACACATACATACACATACATACACATACATACACATACATACACATACATACACATACATACACATACATACACATACATACACATACATACACATACATACACATACATACACATACATACACATACATACACATACATACACATACATACACATACATACATACACATACATACATACATACATACATACACTAACACACATACATACACACACACATATACACACACATATACACATACATATACACACACATATACACACACATATACACACACATATACACACACATATACACACACATATACATATACGGTACATACATACCATTAAAAGTTAATGCATGACATTTAATGCTATAAAACAATAAAGTATATATACTGTACAATACTATTGTAATTTATCTATTGATTAATAACAGACCAAAAATATTATTATTATTGTTGAAAATTTATTTGTTTCAACTAAATAATAATAAATAAAAAAAATCAATGTTAAACGTGATTAGTATTATTATTAAGTATTATGTAATTTAATTGCTATTTTAATATTTTTTTATTTTTTAAAAATATTTATTTAGTAATATCATTGAAATCCAATGTGTGTCGCCCTGTATAATGTACTATACTTTTACAATATTATTATTATTATTATGGGATACACTAGAGTAGGAAAATAATGGGTTTTAAAAAAATATATATAAATAAAAAATTTAATCAATTAATTTATTATCGCATTAAATACCAATAAAAAACATAAATATATTATTTTGTTATTATTTTTTTTTGTTAATTAAATAAACAAAAAAAATTTATTTAATTTTTTTGAGTCAATATTTATTTTTTTTAAAAAAAAATATTAATTACGGTTCGGTTAATACAAACCCGGGTTTTTTGGGGTTTGGGTATTGGTTTTTTGAAAAACCTCTATTTTATTTGTATTAATAATAATAATAATAAAACTTATGATGAGTTGAAATTTATTGCTAAATATTTTTTTTAAATTTTTAATATTAATATTATATTAACTAAAATAAGTTATATATTAATATAATATTTTTATATAATGTTATGATATTATTGTATATACAGTATATCATATTGAATGAATAGTCTATTATTAATAATAATAATTTATATGATATTTTTATAACACATTTTTTTTATGGTTACAACACTTTACTTATTATTATTATTATTATTATTATTAATATTTTTAATATAAAAATATTAAAAAATATAAAAAAAATATATAAAAAAAATTAAATATAAAAATATCATATCATTAGTGTATATCATAACCACATATCAGGTATTTATTTGATTATTATATTAAAAAAAAATTATTTAATTATAATTAAAAACATAACATAATTATCGGTAAATTTAAAACTTTTTGTTTGTTAGCAATTAATTTAATTAATTTTTTTTTGTGTTATATGTTGGCCACCACTAGTCCACCCGTAGTCCACTCACCACTAAAAATCAATGGTTGCGACCAAAGAGGCTCCCGTCGCCACCGCCACCGCCACTGGTTCGGCATCTATTGGCCAACAATGGGCCAATTGGCGGCGGGCCTCCCAGTCCTATCAGCGTCAACAATCGGGTATCAATGCGATATTTATCGGGCCTCCCGGTGCCGGCAAAGGTACCCAAGCCCAGAACGTTAAACGCGATTTCGGTGTCTGCCAGTTGGCCACCGGTGACCTGTTGCGAGCCGAAGTGAAATCCGGGTCGCCGTTGGGTCGCGAAGCTGGCCAACTGATGTCGGCCGGCCGACTAGTGGACGATTCGCTAGTTATCCGATTGATCGATACAAATCTCGATAAACCCGACTGCGCTAACGGTTTCCTATTGGACGGCTTTCCCCGAACCATAGTCCAGGCCGAGAAGGTTAGTACCATCGGTAGTATAGTTGGCCACTGTTGGTCTCTATCTTAATTCCGGCCATTAGTTGACAACTGTATGTTTATGTTTGTCTAACTGTTTATCTCTCTCATTGCCGCCGATACTACTACTATACAAAAAAGTTAGACCAATTGCTTGCCAAACGAAATACCCGAATCGATTCGGTAATCGAGTTTGCCATCGATGACGACGTACTGGTCAAACGTATTTGCGGCCGACTGTTGCACGAACCGAGCGGCCGTACCTATCATGAAGAGTTTTATCCGCCAAAAAAACCGATGACCGATGATGTCAGTAGTAGTAGTAGTGATGACCACTTTCGGTAGTAGTGTTTATCTCTTAAATAACCCGATTTTTTGTTTGTTTGTTGAAACAGATTACCGGCGAACCATTGAAACGCCGATCCGATGATAATCCCGAAGCATTGCGCACAAGACTCGACGCTTTTCACAAACAAACCAAACCGTTGATCGACTACTACCAGACCCGGGGCTGTCATTCGGCAGTCGATGCCAAACAGCCGGCGCCAGTTGTCTACGATTCGATACTCAAGGCCTTCAGGAAAGCCAAAAGCAAAGATCTGGTGATCTTTATATAATAAGACTGAAGAAGACGGAAGAGGAGGACATTGAAGAAGAAGAATATGAAGACAACAAACAAACAAAAAATGAATGAAAATTTAGTTTTTTGTTTTTTTTTTGAACCATTGATTTGATTTTTATTTGATTTGATTCGCAAATTTTGTTTTTGATGTTATGATCTTTTATTTTTAAAATTATTATTAATAGTATGAAAATCATTTGATCCAATTGATCCACTTATATATATATTTAGCCTTTAAATGAGTGAAAAATCGGGTATAAAATTGTTTAATTAGTTTTTTTTCTCTTTGATATTACTGTATAATCTCTTTATTTTATTTTATTATTATTTTTTTTTTGTTTTTGAAAATCTATTCAAATTATGTCCAAAGTATTGATACAAACAACAAAAAAAATGTTTGTTTTGTTTTTTATTTTATTATTTACAACAACAAAAAAATCATATAATAATAATAATTGTATTAATGATTATCGCATTAGATTTAAGATTATCCATCCATTCATCCATACATACGATTAAAGTAGTAATTGGGTTATAATAACCATCGCTCCCGTCCCGGACCCGTCCCGGACCCGTCCCGTAACCTATAAATTTTCAAACGACTTATCAATGAGTGTTCCCTTTGACTTGAGTTTGGCCGACGCCGCGGCAGCCGCTGCCGTATCCTCACTGCCAACACCACCAGCACCTGCAGTGCCGCCGCCGCCGCCAATATCGGCTCTGAAACGTTTGACCACACTTTTCCGGTCCAATTGCTTCTCAATAATACGGGCATTGGCTGCGTAACTGTCGGCCACTTCGCGGGCCTCGATTTCTTCCTCTTCTTCATCGACCGTCGAAACGGTAACTGAACTGAATTTTCCCATATCTTTCGTACGTTTAGTTATTTTTGTTCGTTCGGTATTAGTTGTGTCCGCTGCCGCGGCGGCGGCCGAACCATTGGCGCGGGTATTGGCCGATGGTTTAGTTTTCTTGTGCGATACTAGCGAGCCGTCGATGATAAAGAAATAGTTGGCCTGCGGTTCGGTCATATAGACTAACGGTAGGCCACATTTGCGGCATTTTTTCCGCAGCTGTTTCTCTATGGAACCGTCCGGTCGTCTCAAGTAAACCACTTCTGGCCGATACTTTGGATCGATATCACCGCCGCCGCTGCTGTTGTTGTCGGCCGCCAATAGCTTATAGATATTGATGGCCGCATCGACCACACGCGACTGGTCGCGCTGCCTGAGCGGTAGCCGATCCATGGGTTGGTCGACAATCAGTGCCAATTGGCCGCACAGACAGTGATAGACATTGAGGGACTTGTCGTCGCTATACTCTTCTTCGGCTTTACTATCGCTGCAAACGATACTACGGGACACTACTTTCGGCATTTTGTTTTCGTGTTTGTGTTTTACCGACGGCTGCGGTGGCGGCGGTTATGACCCGAGACTGTCCGTTATGTCTTTGAAGACTTTAACTTCCGACGGCTGCGGTGGTGGTGGCGGTTATGACCCGAGACTGTCCGTTATGTCCTTAACTTTGATGATTGGGATCGGGGTTTGACTTCTTTGATGGTCTCTTAATGACCACTGAATTGATTGATTGATTGATTGATTCACTGATTGATTGACAACAACGACAACCAAACGCCTGATTTGTTGTTATTATTGTTTATTATTATTATTATTACAGTATTGTTATTGTTGTGTAACGTTGTTTGCGAATGACTCTCATAGTTGTTATACTGTATTTAATATACAGAGTGTACTATAATTGCCAATAAAATTGTTTGAATTTTTTTTTTAAATTTTTTTTTTGGTGAAAAATTTAAAAAATTAAATATTAGTTTAAATTTTTATATATTTTTAATTAATATTAGTTTTTTTTTTGTAAATTTATATTTATTTATTTTTTAAGCAAAATTTTATTTAAAATTAATAATAAATTTAATACAACTTTATATAATTTTCTTACTATTTAGTTAGTTATACTGTATTAACTTTTTTAAATAGTTTTAAATTGTTAATAAAAAAATATACATGATGAATTATATACAGTATATATAATAAATATAAAATAATTTTAAAAAAAATTCAAAATTTTATATATAATGTTAGATTAATAAGATTTAGATACAAATAATTGTTTTAAATCTATTTATATATATATACTGTATTAGAAATAAGTATATATCAAACATATTAATTAATTTATTAAATTATTTTTAAAAAAATGATCACTGTACATTTATAAACCATATGAAACATTAGTAACATTACAAACAAAATTAATCAAGTTCAATTGGTTCAATTTGATAATACAGCATGGTTGTATTAAAACTAAATAAATAATTTATTTTTATGATTCAATATGTGTTTTTTTATTAAAAAAAAATAAATTTTTTAATTTAAATGTCACCAATAAATAGTGTTATTACTAATATAACTGTGTGTAAAAATCACCTTGTTTATTTATCAATTATTTATCATCATCATCATCATATATATTGATTTTGAGATATAACTTATATATATATATATAATTTCAATGATGTATTATTGTCATCAAAAAAAAATTTTTTTATATTATATATATATATTGATATATTTACCTTATATTTTGTTGAGATATATATATATATATGAAATATTATTTTTATATGACATTCAAAATATTGACAAATTGATTGATCTATTTCTATCCCAATAGTTTTTTATGGGTGTTATTATATGGTATATATATACTGTATATATACTGTATATATAAATGTATTGAAAATCATAAATCAAAAAAAAAGAGGAAATACATTACAAATAATAATAATAATAAAAACTTTTTTTATATATATTATATAATATTTGATGTGTGTGTGTGTAAATGTGTGAAAATATTAAATATTATTTTTTTTGTATGTATTTTATTTGCTGATAAAATCAAATATTATATATTAAATATATTATAATATATGAATTGAAATGATTTTTTTTTTTGGTTAGTGTTTTAATATGTGTTATAATTTATATATGTGTTAATAATAATATGTCATTTATTTAATTTATTATTTATTTATGACTTATAGTTAAAAAGTTATTAACACTAAATAAACTAATAATAATAATAAGTTATAAATTAAATAAATTAGTGATATTTACTAATAATTTCAACTATAATATCAAATAATTGAAGATTTTTTTTTTGAATCATCAAAACTTTCATCAAATCAGGTATTTTACAATAAATTTTGATACAATTTTTTATATACAATATATACAGGTATTATAGTTGTTTGACTTTTACAAACAATTGTTTTTGTGACCATAAAAATGTAGTTAAATTGCAATTTTTCGCCCCAAAAAAATATTTTTTTTGGGGGGGGGGGTTTGAAAAATTGTGTTCAAGTGTGTGTGAATATGTTTATCATATAAATATATATAACTTTTTTTTTAAATATATTTATTTATATTGTATACTAAAATGCTTTTAACATAATGTGACATAAAGTTTTTTTTTGGCAAAATAAATAAATTTTTCGACCAAAAAAACAAACAAAATATATTACAAAAAATGCATTTATATATATATATATATATATATATATATATATATATATGTTTAAACTTAAAATGCATAGTATTTTATTATTGTATATACATATTAATGTATTGTATTGTTTAAGTTTTAAAAATGCATACATATATACATACCCCAAGTGTGAAACACATCATTTAACAATATATACATATATACTATATATACTGTATATATATATATATCATATTTGATGATATAAATGATGGTATTTTTTTGATCATATTTTATTTTGTTTATATCAAAAACAAAAAATAGTAAATATTATATATGTGTTTTTAAAAGCCATTAAAATTTGTGTATATTGTATATGAGTGTCTTATATATGAATAAAATGAAAAATTTGTTTATAAATAAAAAAGTTTTTTTTATATAAACATTTAAGTAAACAATATTTACTACTAAACCTTTCACAAAATTTTTTAAAAAATCAAAAATTTCTACATATTAATAGATAAACTTATTATATATATATATAATTTATTTTTTAATTAACATTAAATTTATATAAAATAATTTGTTGGATATTTTTATAATTTCAAAATTTTTTTGCTAATGTATAAAATTTATTTTAATTATATATATAATTAATACTATGATTTTTTTTTGTTAAAATATTAATTATGTTTTAATACATTTACGGTAAGTTTATTGTAGACAAATTAATAAATTATTATTTTTTAATAATTATTTTTAATAAACATTATGTTATTTAATAATTGTTAGTAAAGTAAATGATTTGTTTTTATTAAAAATAATTTATTTGTTTGTTTTTGTTTGTTTATTTGTTATTCAACTATATAAATATGTTTATATTTTACCAATAAATATATAAAATATATTTTTTTGGTTACTTTTTTTGTTAACTATTAATACTCAAAAAAAAGAGTTTCAACAATAAAAAAAATAAAATAATAAATAATAAATATTAGCTATGTTTTCAATATATTTATTATTTTATTTATTTTTTTATAGTTGAGATTTTTTTATGTCTTTAAGCAATATATATATACTGTATATATATATATATATATATATATATATATATGATTGGACAGACAATTTGCAGGCTATTTGTTTAACAATTGCTTTAAAGTATATTTTATTTTTTATTTTATTTCAAGTCAATAGATATATAGATATATACATAATATAAGTATATTATATATGTATTACAATAACAAAAATTTTATAACAATTTCATGTTATATTATTTTTTTTGGTCAATAACTTTATTTTTTTTGAATGTCTATTATATATATACTGATATATATATATATATATATAYWTATATATATATATATATATATATATATATATATATATATATATATATATATATATATATATATATATATATATATATATATATAAGTAAAATCTCCATTTGATTTACTAATATTATTGTATTATACTCTCAAAAATAATAAATATATTCAAAACATATATTACAATATTTGCTTAGAAAAGCAAAATATGTTTTTTATATTTTGTTGTATTATTATTATTATTATTTCATGGATTTAACATTATTTTATATTATTTTTTTAGTCAATACTTTCTATAAAATAAAATAAAAAAAAGTTTTTTTAAACAAAAATTTTGTTGTATTTATCATATTGTAAAACATACTATTATTATTATATATGTATAGATAGATAGATAAGTTAAACTATATATTAAAATAATTTTTAGTTTATTATTGTATTACAAACAGTATTATCAATGTATTAATAAATTATATATATTTTTATTATATATTATTGAAATATAATATTTTAATTATTATTTATTGTTTGACAAAATAATTATCTATAACACTATAAGTATATAATTTTCATAATAATAATGATATGTTTTACATGTATTTTTATACTGAATGCTAATATAATTAGCAAATAAATTATTTTTTAAAAATATATATAAATTTATACTTTAGTATAAAATTTCTATTCAAATATTATGTATTATATAATAATACTCTATTTTTCAACATATAATATATAACGATAACAATAATTAGGATAATAAATAACTAATATTATAACCAAAAATAATTTAATTTATTTTTTTTTAAAAATATATACTGATATATAAAAATAATTTATTTAGTTTATACAAATTGTATTTTTTTTTAAAAATCAATTAATGTTTATTTAAATATACTGTACTATACTATTGTATATAAAACTATATAATAGTAAATATATAAAACAAAATATTTGTTGTTGTCTTAAAAAATTATACACAAAAAAAATTTATTTTAAATAATTTAGAGAAAATAAAAACACAATAATAATAATAATAACATAAATAAGAAAATATTTATTTATACAATAAAATTACTTTATATTTACTTAAGAAATTAGTCGCAAAACAAAAAAATGTTTTTTTAATTTTCTAAATGCATTTTAAAACAAAACAGAAATAAATAAAATATAAAATAAAAAAAATATAGAGTAATAATATAATGTCAGTCATATATATATATAGACAAAACAAAATATATATATATAAATAATAGACATTAAACTCAATAAAATAGATTGACTGTAAAGATTAGACAATATATATACAGTATATATATATAGATAGAAAGATATATTAAATAATAAAATATTTGTTATGATTTATCAGATATTAAATGTAATGTGGGGTTAGTGTGTGTGTGTGTATGTGTGTGTATGTGTGTGTATGTGTGTGTATGTGTGTGTATGTGTGTGTATGTGTGTGTATGTGTGTGTATGTGTGTGTATGTGTGTGTATGTGTGTGTATGTGTGTGTATGTGTGTGTATGTGTGTGTATGTGTGTGTATGTGTGTGTATGTGTGTGTATGTGTGTGTATGTGTGTGTATGTGTGTGTATGTGTGTGTGTATGTGTGTGTATGTGTGTGTATGTGTTTGTGTGTATGTGTGTGTATGTATGTGTGTGTGTGTGTGTGTGTGTATGTATGTGTGTGTATGTGTATGTGTGTGTATGTATGTGTGTGTGTGTGTGTATGTGTGTGTGTGTGTATGTGTGTGTATGTGTGTGAATGTGTGTGTATGTGTGTGTATGTGTGCGTTGTCTATATATA